GCCGTCCCCCACGGTGGTCATCTACAATTATGTGCAGCAACCCACTTCGGTCAGTGTGTCCGCGGCGGCGTGGGTCGCGGGGTGGAGAAAGGGAAGGGAGGGGGAGGCTTGGCGTGGCTTGGCGCGTTCATTCATAGAGCCTTACTACGGCCATGTGGGTGGCGGCGGTGCGGTGCGGCGGTGCGGCGCGCGATGAAGGTCCCGTCTTGAAGCGGCGCACAGTGGGCCAGAAGACCGGTGGAGGCGGACAAAACTCCAGACGCGTTTTGAGCTCCAGAGTCGCTAAACAGGATTCGAACCGAGGGTGTGACCCCACCAATGGATTCCTCGTTCGGAGAGCAATCCATTGGTGGGGTCACACGTTTGGTTCGAGTCCCATTTAGCGACTCTGGAGCTCAAGCGCGTCCGGGATTTTGACCGCCCCCACCGGTCTTCTGGCCCACTGTGAGGCGGGGCGTGGCCGTCGTGGCCGCGGTCCGTGTGCAGCATGCGGCGCGAGAGCGGCGACCGTGCGTCGCGCCGTGTGTGCTGTGCTGCCCGTTCCTCCCTTACCCCTTTTCCACACACTCCCCCTCCCCCTTTTCTCCAGTGCCGGACGTCACTGCTGCCGGAAGCCGCGGCAAAATCGTAAAACGGCGGTGAAATTGTGTTGTTTTGGCGCGCGCGTGTGCGGTGCCCGGTGGTGGCGGTACGGAGCCGCGTCGCGAGGGCAGCATCTGGCGGACGGGCCGCAACGAAAACGGCGAAACGCTTCCACGCTCCACCGCCCCGCGGACAGCACACCATCAAGCCCGCGGGCTGGACGACGAGGATGAGGAAGGATTTGCCCCGCATGTTACATCACCGCGTGCTTGCCAAAAGAGGCAAAGCGCGAAACGGAAAACAACAAACACACATGGAAGCGCCCAAGAAGAAAGTCCACAAAGCAATTAGGTGCATACTCTCCATCTTCTATGATGGCGGATGTTTGAAAGGGAATCCACTGTTGAGCCACTGGGAGAGAAAAAAATCTTCTGACTACGGATCTATGGTCGCAGTCAATCTGCGGGGTGGCCCTGTCTATCACACGAAAGTCTATCTCTATCTGTAGCCTTTACTATCAGACATGACATAGAGGATGCCAAATCAACACCTAAACTGTTTAGTGGTTTTTCTTAGCTTTATTAGGTTATGCTAACAATCTAAACCCGATCAGAGGAGTAAAATTGCAGTTCTCTCGAATCATAGGCTCTAAAAATTTACGACGGTCGCTTTGTGGTGCCGTGTGGATGCGTCGAAACATGCCGCCCTGAGCTATTGGTCCAACAATGGGCCGTCGTCCTCACTGCAGGCGGCGTTGCCCAATACGCCGCAAAATGAGGTTTCGATGCCCCGAATCGGGCCATGGCCCGGCCAGGACTCTCGGCCCGGACAGGGCCCTGGGCCCGGCCTGCCTCTAGACCTGCCCCGGGGACGTCGATGATAGGCATCCAGGCCGTCGCTCGGACAATGGCGGGCAATGTCTCTATGAGGAGGGCGAGGGCCTGGAGGAGGGCCTCGAGGAGCGGCCGCGCGCTACGCCCGCCGCCCTCTGGGCCGCCCCGCGCCCGACCCGCGCCGCAGCAGCCGCGCGGAGAAGCACTAGGCAGGGTTCAAGCCCGTGGCCGCGAGCCGAAAGGCCAGCAGGAGCCGCGGTGGGTTCCGTCGTCCCGAAGCGCCTGTGTAAGATGGCGAGCTTCACCAGGTTCGCAGACGCAGCAGGAGGTGGTCGATGACCACTGGTCTTGCCAGCCCCCCGGAAGCCTGTGCGTCCCGAAAAGCCTGTGTGTAAGACGGCGAGATCTGCGAACATGACTCGGTTTGCATACGCAGCAGGAGGTAGCCAATAGCCGATGACCACTAGTCTCACCGGGTCCCCGAAAGCCCGTGTGCATCTGCAGTGGTTCCGTCCCCGAAAGCCTGTGTGTAAGACGGCGCGATCCGCGAACATGACCAGGTTCGTATACGCTGCAAGAGGTGGCCGATGACCAGACGTCCCCAAAAGCCTGTGTGTATCGGCCGTCCCAAAAAGCCTGTGTGTATCGGCTCTGGTCCCAAAAGGCGTGTGTATCGGTTCTGGTCCCAAAATGCCTGTGTAAGATGGCGAACTTCACCAGGTTCGCATACGCAGCAGGAGGTGGCCGACGACCAGACGTCCCCAAAAGCCTGTGTGTATCGGTTCTGGTCCCAAAAGGCCTGTGTAAGATGGCGAGCTTCACCAGGTTCGCATACGCAGCAGGAGGTGGCCGATGACCACTGGTTGCTGTCCCTGATAGCCTGTGTATCGACCGTCCCTTTAAGCCTGTGTGCATCTGTAGAGGCTCCGTCCCTGAATGCCTGTGTGCACTGGCAGTGGTTTTCGTCCGAAGCGATTCCGGTTACACCTCCAATTTCTTCGTCGTCCCTCGAACTACTGTTTGATCGGCTCGTCGATAACATCCCTCCCTACAGCGACGTGGACGTCGTCGACCGGCTTTGTCCTCGGCCAGCTCCAGGACTCTGCCTCCGGCGGCGGTCTTGATAAAGCATGCAATGGGGGTAATGACGAGGGGACAAGGTCCTGCGAGGCCCTAGCTGCACGCCCCACCCCGCCCCGCCCCTGCCATTACACTTGGATGGAATTCCTCCATTTCCACCCGTTGTTGTGGCGGCTGGCTCGGCTCGGCGCATAACGCACCGGCGCCCGTTTGATGAATACCTCAGCAGTCGGCGGCCCTCCCAGTGCCGCGACCACGCCGACCACGCCCCGCCGGCATTGATCTCTTCGTCGGCGTCCTCCGATCGGACGCCGTTACCGCTTTGATCGTCGCGATATTGCGCTAGTGATCATCGCAGCAGTTGTTTTCGTCGCTCTGTCTCACTCGCACTCACAGGGTGCTTTAGGTGCGAGAGAGAGAGACAGAGCGACGAAAAGGACTCTCGGAATCAGTCTGACTGTCCACCCTGGACCGTTTCCCCCCACTACCCCTCGGTAGGTTCTTCGATGTCCGCCGAGGTCGCGCTCGGGATCTCATCTCTCTAGCAGATGACGTTGTGTCGGACACGCTGTAATTTTCGAGTGGGCCCGTGGCCCGCTCGCCTTTGGGGCATGCGGGGACTTCATCAAGGCCCTTGATTCAAGGGCGTGCGAAATGGTGATGGCCGGCCGAACGGTATCGGGGTCTTTCCTTAACGTTTTGAGCGAGACCTGCTGGACCTTCCGTGGGTGTGAAAGCGTGCCCATAAAGCTGCCTCTGAAAAGTCGTTCGTCGCTTTCTCTGTCGCACTCCCGGGCCTGGAGCGAGACGGAGCGAGGAACGGCAGGTCGCGCGAGCAGGGCGCGGGAGAACGAGAACGTCATCGGGAGGGCCTAGCCCGGCCTGGCCGCACCGCTTCGTCTTGAATTAATTCTTTAGCAACTGGTCAGGGAGGAGCGGCGCAGCGACGCAACGGCCATTCATTCATTAGTCCGCCTCCCATTGAGTCGAGAGTCGAGGCGGAGCCGAGCGAGCGGAGGGACTCCGGGAGGGCGGGGCTGGCCGTAGGCAGACTCATTCCGAGAGTCGCTCTCGTCGCTCTGTCTCTCTCGCACGCACGGGCCGTTCCGCGCAGGTGCGAGAGAGACAGAGCGACGAGAGCGACTCTCGGAATGAGTCTGCCGGCCGCTCCCCGCGCATTAGTCGCCGGTCATCATAATCCGTTCGTCGGCGCGTCGCTGCAGCGGGCAGTGCACCAGCAGCAGGCCGTGCAGGCACAATGATGGGGCTTCACTTGGGCAACGTCGGGCAACGCTGCGTGACGGGGTATCGCCGCCCCCGCCGCCCCCGCCACCCCCGCTGCCCCCGCCGGGCGAACTGCCCCCGCGTCGCGCCGAGCCGCGCCCGTCGTCCTGAAATCGCGCGGAATTACCTATGCAACAATGTTGGGAGGTTCATCGACAAATAAACGTCGAGCGGCCGCCCCGGGACGGCCTGCGGGTCCGCGGACCAGTCCACTGGCTGACGCTGCGGACGCCGCGGGCTGCAAAACCATCGCCTGGGCCTGCCTGGGCATTGACCGATATTCGTGGGAAGGAGATGGATTCTGAATCATTCACTGTAACAAATTTGCAAAAAAACTTGACTCAAGGTAGTCGTTTAAAAGTTCGTTCCGGAGGCAAACCAGCGGAAAATTTGTCCGACTGATCCAACATTTCCTGAGGAATAATCGGCCGGCACCTGCCCCGTCGATCTATGCGGGGATCTTCGTGGGAACAAAAGGCGGTCGCAGGCGGTCTCTCTCGCGCCCTACGGAACGCTTCATGAGTGCGAGAGAGACAGACCGACCGCCAGTGCGAATGGAGGCTCAGGCCGGCTCGGGCTGCTGGGGGTCCTGAATGAGCATCCTCGGATGACACAAGGCGCGTTCCCGCCGCGACCTCCGCCTGCCTCCGCCATGCCCTGCAGGGACCTTCCCCGCGGGGGTCGCCTCTGGCTGCCTCTGGCTTGCTGCCCTGGCCGCTGTGCCCCGTGGCCCAGTCTCCGACCTGGACATTCTCCAGCGAGTTGTCCAGGGCCTGCAGCGTGGCGGCGTCCAGCGCGGCCCGCCAGACAGCACCAGACAGGACGGCCGCGGCGGGCCGTGGGCCGTGGGAACACTGAGCCGCGCTGAGCGCCCCGGAAAGTCGGGGTGACGCGCCAGACGCGTTGCGTCGCCTGCACCAGAAGAACCAGAGGTCAGGCCAGAAGACCTGTGGAGGCGGTCGAAATCCCGGACGCGTTTTGAGTTCCAGACTCGCTAAACGGGACCCGAACCGAACGTTTGACCCCCAATGGATTGCTCTCCGAACGAGGAATCCGTTGGTGGGGTCACACGCTCGGTTCGAGTCCTGTTTAGCGACTCTGGAGCTCAAAACGCTTTAGTTTTTCTAGTGTCCAGGTTGGCGTGTACTTGGCATGTACACTCCCGTTGAACGCTTCTGTTCGAAAGCCGCCTCTCACTCCTCCCGCTCTGTTTCCTTCCAGGTGCCCCTGGCGTGGCTGGCGTGGTGCGCGGTGCTGCTGCTGCTTCCGGGGATGGCGGTCGCCGACCCTCGGCAAGACACTGGCTTCGGCAGAGCGGCCCCCGCGGCCCACCACAAGGACGTAAGTACCGGCCAGGCCTTAGGCCAGGCCTTGGGCCAGGCCGCGACCACACTGGAACTTACCTCGTTCAAGCTCAAGTTGCGTGTCCCCGCGTTTTTGCCAATCCAACGATAATTCACTCGGCGACTACTTCCCCCTCCCCTCCCCTCCCTCGTCAATTGCATTCATAATCATGATTTCTGCTGTGCCGACGCTCTCTCTCTCCTGGACCTTCTCGCCGTCATGTTCGCCCTCATCGGACCGCGTCATTTTGCCATCATCCACTCATTCGCACATCTCGCCTCCCCCTGCCCGCCACCCTCCCACGAGCAAACGACTGCTGCCGTTGCTCCCTCCCCTCCCCCTCTCCCCGGTGTTCCTCCCCCGCAGGACGTGCACTACAAGTACCAGTACGCCGTGGACGACCCCGTGTCCGGCGTGGTCAACGACCGGTGGGAGCAGCGCAGCGGGGACTTCGTCAAGGGGCAGTACTCGCTGCTGGACCCCGACGGCAAGGTGCGCATCGTGGACTACGAGGTGGACGGCGAGCGCGGCTTCCACGCCGTCATCCACACGCGGTACCCTGGTGAGTTGGACCGCGCCGACGGCGGCCAAACGACACCCAAGCGCACAGTGGGCCAGAAGACCGGCGGAGGCGGTCAAAATGCCGGACGCGTTTTGAGCTTCAGAGTCGCTTAACTGGACTCGAACCGAGCGTGTGACCCCACCAATGGATTCCTCGTTCGGAGAGCAGTCCATTGGTGGGGCCACACGTTCGGTTCGAGTCCCATTTAGCGACTCTGGAGCTCAAAACGCGTCTAGGATTTCGAGCACCTGCACCGGTCTTCTGGCAAATCCACTGTGCTGCGTTCTCGCTCTGCAGTCTGATTCCGAACAGCGCTTCCGTCGCTCTGTCTCGCTCGCACTCATGCGGCGTCCCTGTGGAGTGCGAGAGGGACAGAGCGGCTTCCCGTGCCTACAAGCAACGCCCCCTTCTTGGCGCCCCCTTCCGCAGCGCCGTCGCTGCTGAGCATCCAGTCGGCCAGCCAGGTGCACGAGGTGTACCAGGACTCGCCCGTCAACATCCGCGCCAAGAACGGCCTGGACATCCCGGAGTTCGCGCTGCGCAACCCGCGCTTCTCGGTGCGCGACAACCTGCCCTTCAACTACCACGCCCTGGACGCGGCCAAGATCGGCCTCAACACGGAGGACGGTGAGTGTCCTCCAGGGGCGGAGCCAGGGACGGGATCAGGAGAGGGGGGGGGTCACAAAAGATGTCTTAGGAGTGAGTGGATAGTACGATTTGTGGCCTACCTGTGGCCGCCGTCCGGATGCGCCCCCTCCCCCTCCCCCTCACAGTGGGCCAGAAGACCGGTGGAGGCGGCCAACACTCTAGACGCGTTTTGAGCTCCAGAGTCGGTAAACAGGACTCGAACCGAGCGTGTGACCCTACCAATGGATTGCTCTCCGAACGAGGAATCCGGGGTCACACGCTCGGTTCGAGACCTATTTACCGACTCCGGAGCTTAAAACGCGTCTAGAGTTTTGGCCGCCTCCACCGGTCTTCTGGCCCACTGTGCCCCTCCCGCGCCGCCTGGATCCGCGTCTGGTTTGATCCGAATCCGGCTGCCGCCGCTGCCGCTGATTGCTGATGACCGATTCCCACGCGGCGGGGTGATGGTTGCAGACGGCGCACAGCTGCAGTCCTTGGTGGACCTGAAGGACCTCGAGCCGCCGCTGTCGCCGCGGGAGGCACAGCGCCGGAAGTTCCACCGCGACAACCACCTGCTGCCGCACGAGCGCCTGCAGGAGCAGCAGGACCTACAGGGGCTGCAGCAGGCCGACCTGGCCGTGCAGCAGGACACGCGGCAGGACCTGCAGGACGTGCAGGAGCCCCAGTACCACACGCTGGACAGGTGGGTCGGCCGCCCGGCGAGCAGCGGACTCATTCCGAGAGTCGTCTTCGTCGCTCTGTCTCTCTCACACTCATGGGGCGTCCTCGCATAGGTGCGAGAGAGACGGACGACTCTCGGAATGGGTCTGCAGGCAGAGGGCCACGTAGGTTGCTTTCTACCTGCCCGTTCCATGTTCTGCCTGCAGGCGCATCGCGTACCCGCTGACGGCGCCAACGGCGCCGGGCTCCGTCTTCAACCCGCGCGCCGCCTACATCAGCCTGCGGCCGCGGCCCACGGCGCTGTCACCTCTGCCGCCGCCGAACCCGCCCCCCATGGACGTGCACCCGTCGCATCGGCGCGGCGCCGCCCCCCTCGCCACCCCCGCCTACCTGTTCCAGCCCGCCCCCGTCACCAGCCTGTACACGCTGGCGCTGCAGCAGCCCCTGCAGCCGCTGCAGCAGCCCCTGCAGCCGCTGCAGCCGCTGCCTCGACTCCAGCCCGCCGCGTCGGCGCGGTCCTCCAGCGCCTCCAGCCTCACGTCGACCACCAGGCTGGTGGCCTCGCGGGGGTCGTCGCGGCCGCGGCTGGTGCAGCACTTGACGGAGACGTCGCCGGGGCTGTCGGCCAGTAGGAGCTACTACCTGCGATGAAGGCTAGCGGTCACCTCGCACAAGGCCTCGCGCAAGGCCCACGGGGCGAGCCGAGCCAGGGCGCCGAACCGGTGTACAAATCCCCATGCCATATTGACCGACTCCCTCGGACTCCCTTGGACCGACTGACTAACCGAAAGACTGGCGTCCGAGTGACACGGAGTGACGGCACGGACAGCACTCTAGAAGTAACGCTCATTCTTGTCATTGTTGCCCTCTCAAAAGATGCCTGGGAGGCAACCCATCCAAGCCCGTTTCTTCTTGATTAATAATCGCCAATCGCCTTTTTCAACGAGCAGTGGCCAGGACTCGCATTCTCATGTTTTCATCATCAACATTTGAGCCATGTTCCTGAGCGTTTTGTATATAAAGAGAATTGTACATAGTTTGCAGGAATTTCTAGTTTAAAACGTTCAGTGGAGCGAAAAATGTTTGTACGAAATTAATTGAGCCATTGTAAATAGTAGACAGAAGAAGGGTGTTAGTAAAATATGTTAAACTAAAATAAATTTGATAAATTCTGAATGTTTTGAATATGATCTGAAGGTTTTATTTCCTGGTTTTCCATGAGTGCCACCCACAAATAGTCCGTTGACTTTTACAAATACTTCAAGAGAAGGGCACCCAGTTTCTCACGCTGACACAGGATTTGAGGCACATTAAGACTCTAAGTACTTCATTTTTCCACCAAAATATTTATTGTAACTTCTGCTCCTTGCTATGAGGACCATCAATAGCAATTAAATGCATGACTGAATAATAGCAAAACACGTATGGTGCAGACCTAATGTTTTCGATTTATAAACAAGCTCGAATAGCAACACATCAAAATTGTGCCACTTATCCACGAACAATATTCATTTTGCAAAACATAACATTCAAATACATTTTAATCATTATTTTGGAGCTAACTTTACATTAATTGAAGTGAGCATTTCTTTCTACACTTTTATTTTTGGCAAAATCACTATAACTGTTCACAAAATTCCAATACTGTACCACCATTTGTATAGTACCATAAATGCAACCATGGCTGGACATTCATTATTGCTCTACTGCTTATTTCTAAATCCTCAAATGAATGAAGGAAATACCTATTGGTTTTATTGCGATAAGCATTACAATTTGTCAGTTCTAAAGTCAGTATATGATAAAAACATCTTTCATGTTTGGTAATTAATTGACTTATCATAATATCCTCTCACAAAAATAAACTTGAACTTATTAATTATATTGATGTACTCATGCCAAAAAAAAGTATCTACCTACAGTATTAAAGGAAGGACATCTAAAAGGCCTCCTCATTAGACATACTGAAGTAAGAACAAAGGTACTGTAATCATCTACAAAGTAGCAAATTTTCAGCAAGCTGGACTCAGGATATACATTCAATGACAACAGTTGTTAAGTCAAATACAAAATATACCCATAATAAATTTTACAAAGAGTTCTAGCATACAGAAACTATGAATGCTTGCCTATGTTTGGTTCATTCAAAAAAGCTTGATGGCCCCATTGGCTAAATCAAACAACAATAAAAAATTGTGCAATGTGTGCCAATTCAGTCAAGTTCACAAATCCACCCGAAAAACAGAATGTACTCAGACTGATGTGAGGTTGGTGCTCTATGAAGTTACGTACATCAGCCCAACTACGCTACTGTGAGTTCCTGGTATTAGATTAGCGTCCCTCACGGCACAATGTGAATGCCTGATCAATGAGCTACTAATTGATCATAAGATAAAACTTTTCTTTACACAAATATTACAGAAATTCTAAATTGAATACAAACATCACGAACAACTGTGTTTATTGCTTTGAAAGAATGAGAGAGTAATCACATTAATCAGAAGGATGTTGGCCGACACTGGGAAGAGGGAAAACGGAGGAGAATAACAATACAGAACCAAGAGTCATTATGATTAAGAAATTAGAGCTATGAGGGTATCACCTGGCATTCATACTTCATACCTTCTAAAAAGAAGCAAATTGCAAAACTATTGAAAGGCACATTACAAACCTAAGTAAAAGCATATCACATATGGAACAGTAATACAAGTTGAAGTATACCGGTTAAAATTAAAATAAATTACTGTCACCTCTTTTTGGATGCTGTTCAAAAGGTATCCTTTCAGCCCAAATAAAGAAATACTAAGGATTAGGGTTACTTTGACACACAACATAGTTTCTCACTCTACGTATTTGTGACATAAATACTCAAATGCATTCCTATGTCCGCTCTTCTCCAGAAACACTTGCAGTTTTCAAGTTATGACTGACTTGAAATCTTTGGTCTACAACAGAGAACTACTTTAACATAAACATTCATATTTCTCTTTTGAAACTCCATATTCTGCTCCTTCCTCCTCTATCTAATCTCGAACATCAGACTAGAACTTTGCAGCTCAACAACCAATAACACAAAAGGCTGCTATGAAGTCTGGAGTGCCTTAGCAAAGAAGCATTCAAATAGAAAAGTTATTCTCTCAAGTATCTTTGGAAAAAAATACAACACATAATCAACATTTCATACAGAACAAAAAAACAAAAACTGGTCACTTCTGTTAAAACAAATTTTTTAAGACTGAATAGTAAAGCAAATTGTAAAATCACCCACAACATAAAAAAGTTACCACAGAATATTATGTCTGTGTACATCGAGGTTAACACCCTCCTCAATTTTAATTATAATAAAAAATCACAGTGCAAAACAATCAGTTGAGGAACATTAAGCTTATAAATGGCATGCCTACTTTATCTGGAAACTGGTGGTAACAACACTATATCACCAGAACAAAGAATTCGTTAATCACAATCCACCTGTATAAAAACAGACAACAGGCATAGTCTTAAAATTATCTTTACGGTCAAAAAGAGGTAAAGAGAACATTTTTATGCCATTGAAGCACAAGAGAGATTCAAATTATACTGATACTATAACCACCTCGCCACCCTCAAAAAAGGAGGAGAAAAAAAACAATACGGCAGAACAAATTAAAAACAAATTCAAACAATGATGGCAAAATCAATGCAACAAAAGAAATGGCTTTGTTAAAAGTTTGTTGGTGTCAACTTTTTTAAATGAATCACTGTTTCTAAAGAATAAAATTTCAAGTCACACAGCATTTTGTAATTCCTATGTGAGCATCACAGATACCTACCATGATATAGCAGTATAATCCCAATAAAGTATTTGTCTTTTGCTAAAATAATGGAATGATATCGATTTCAGCGACCTTCTTTTAGAATGTGGTCTGAGATGTAAACACCACAATTACAAAAATTTATATAACAAAGGTACAAGTTTTAAAGAAGAATACCTACTAGCCTAATGTCAATGTCTTAAAGGTGCCATAAAACTGAGAGGCACTAACATCAACCACTGGATGACAGTCTCTGCAAGGAAAGGTGTGTTTGCTGTTCCCTAACACGAAAAGAATAGTCGAAAAACTCCTCACAATAATGATATCAAGAGACCATGATATATCAATCAACAATCCAACAGCTCACCTCAAAGAATCCTTATTTTTTACCCATAACATACATAAATTTAGTTGTAATAAAAAATGTCTAATGGTATTGAATGCTAAGCCAATCTGTTAGCAGTAAAATCCGAAATGCTGGCAAACCTAAGATCATCTTGAGTTAAGTGTGCCGGTTCCATTTTAGGATTTCATAAAATCTACTGCAGTCAGCACTAGTTCTCATAAATTGACACTTCGGTAAAATCTCAGTCGCAATTTTTCGATTTGAGAGCAACATTATTTTAAATTTCTGTGAGGAGCCTTTACGCTACTAATAATTTTGAAAGTAATAGAATTACACCTACATGGTCATAAAATATACACCATGGAGTAAATACTATACATAACAATCATGATAACAATACAACAAGTTCTTCCAACTGAGAGAACTTTGACATTTTAGTTTATTTAATTTTCCAGCTTTTATATTTTGTGTTTTAAGGAAGAAACATTCCGTCATAATGCTACGCTGCACACAATATATCCACCTGTGAGCAACAGATAGCAGGAAGACGTAAGCATCTCCTGTTGGTATTCAACTTCAGGGTGGGACAGCAAGGAGCACCTTTCCTCGGCAATTTTCAGAGAGCGATAAGTTTTGTGTTGCAGTTCTTCCATCTTTCCATCAGGATATGGTTTTCCTCAGAGTGCATTCTAGGTGCTACAGCAACAGGGAGTAAGTGGGGAGTCCCAACTGACTTAAGCTTTCTTGGATCTAAGTTTGCACCCAAGTGTTGCATTCCTGGAAAAAAGAAAGATGTCTAAATAATAACGATAATAATTGGCAGCAATTTGAAAACCTGATTGTCATTAAACTCTCAAACAACCTAGCAATAACTTCAACAGAAAGAAAGAGAAAAATGCACCATGACGATTCCTTTAGTTACCTTTTGCAAGCTTTGAGAATGGAGACAAAACAATTTCTTTGGCTGTGGCAGCACTGGGGCTGGTAATAGCTTGAGTAAGTGTATCTCCTATAGTTTTCAATGAGTTCTCGCTCTTGGAGGCAGTAATATTTGGAATGGTTCCTTGATTTTTACCCTCATTGTCAAGACCAGCTGCAGCAGTATTTGATGTATCAGCACAGGGCTTCTGATCTGTCACTTCACCAGAGGAATGCGAATGATGCTTGTGTAAAAGTAGGGTGTTGGGCGGCACCAATTTAGAATCTTGTTGTTGAGTAGAACCCTCAGATTGTTCCCTTGAGGCATTTTCTTTTGAGAAAGGTTCCACTTTGGTAAGGACCAAATTACTCACATCCAATGTGAGATCAGTTCGAGAGTGCATCAGTGGATATTTGCGTAAGTGATTACTGGCTGATGTTTCTTGCTGCACAACACTGGTGAGTGATACATCATGGATAAGAGGAGCTCTTCCACTAGTGTTTGTTGTGATAGCTTGAGGAGTCCCCTATAAAATAATAAACAAAGAGTCAGTCTAAAAAATGCTTCAAATGACTTTTTTTTGTATAGGAGCAAATTACAGGTAAAAATGTGAGTAACCATACCTTTCCATGAGCCATAACTATCCCAACACTTGGTAAATGGCTGTGTTTGAGAGCTTCTCGTTCAGGCATCACAGATGTCACCAGGCCAGTTGAAGAATCACCATCCACTGGATTTACTATAGATGAGGGTTCATGTACATTTTTTTGGCCTTCCATTGGTTGGACAGTAACAACAGTAGCTGTGTCTTTTTGAACCTGGAGTACAGGAGGAATGTTTTGATTGGTTCATTCATGGAGGTTGAAACACTGAGCATCAAAATCAAAAGCACCTACCTGTCTGTCTGAAGTTTGACCATCCTGTCGATTTGATCGAGGATTAAGATTTTGTCCGAGTCGATTGAGTTTTGTAAACTGGCTGGTCATGTTTGACAATGCTTTGCTTCCTGTAAGAAAGATGGCACATATTGTTACAATATTAGTTTTATCAATTTGTAATGCTTCTTTTAGTTAAAAAATTACTTACCAACACTCTTTAAGGTTGTTAGCTGTGTTTCTGACACATTTCTCGTCATGGTGGGGATTGATGCAACATCAAGATAAGAACTCAACAATCCACTTGGTTTACGAGTTGGATCTCCGGCAATAACTCTTGACTTCATTTTCTCGAGAGGTTGGCCTGAAGTTGTGGGAACAGATGGACAACCAGCAATCTCTAGTGCCACAATAAATGTTTCAAACACTGCCTTCAGGGATTCTGCAATAAAAAAAATAAAATTGGAGCCATAATAATAACAGGATATCAATAATGTAGCCAACATGCTGCGTAATCAATTGAACATTAAACTTACCAATCATTTCTTCTTGTGAACGTATTTCCACTGCAACATTATTGAAGAACCGTATATGAGCAGATCTGAACATGTGAAAGTAACCAGGCTGGCAATCAGCTGAATAATGGATTCGTATGCAGTGATGCTGGCTACGAGAAGACTGCTTGAACAATGAGCCAGCTGTGCTCAACTCTGCTGTGCCCTGCTCCAACCATGAAATATCTTGCAAAAGAACCTGTTGATACTTGGTAACACGATCCATCTGCTCATCATAACTGATAAAGAAAAAAAGACAAAGACATCATGTGAATAGGGTCCAAACTCCTACCAATGTAGAATGAAACTAAAATACTGTGCAAGGTCTCATAACATACTCAGCAACATAGTAAGAATCTCGTGTTAGAATCAAGATGGTATCCATTTCTGTTTCAGCTGGATCACCAGTCCTGCAAAAGAGAGAAAGTTTCAGACAATTTTCCAATGTCCCAAACAAGAAAATGATACTGAAGCAACGAAATATTTTCACTAACACAGGATCTGCATCTATAAGGCCCCACGCTCCCAGCACCATGCTAGAATCACTTATGAGCATCTTTTTGCAGTCTTCAATCAAGAGCTTCACATGTTCAGCTGTGTTACCACTCTCCTCTTCTTCTCCTGGCTTTTCTGAGGAAAATTCTTCCTCTGACACAGGGTTGCCTGTATAGACAGGAGTACACAAGAAAAGAATCAATAAATACTGTAGTAAGCAACATCTTAATTAATGGGGGGAGTGGGCACACTTGCTGCAACTTACCAAGCATAAAATCAATAGTTGCCTGTCTGTATACATCTTTGAAACGATTAAGATAATATCTGTAAAGAACAAAGACTGTTTAGAGCAAAAAGTTAAAAATAAAAAGACCAACAAATTGAAAAAAGGCTGAAGCAGACATTTAAAGGCATGTTATACACGGACACCACCACGTCACTTAGAGAGACAAGCACTTGGGTATATAAAACTGTTTTTTTACAGGGAACTAACTTTTTAAATTAAATATTTTGGAAAACACTTAGTTACAAAACCACACACAACAATATAGTAGACTACAAATTTTTATTCCTACCACCGGGGTTATGAAGAACACACAAATACACAAGGAGAACAGAAGCTTAGAATTTCAGCAAGGTAGACCATGGGCAAAAATGTTTTAACTTCTCATACCCTGCATCTAGCTATGCTTATGCTGTTGGAGACAGATAGTCTAAATATCTCTTAAACCACTGCATCCCATTTATTTTGAGGTTTTTAGTGGCACCAACCTGGCCACGTGGTACGTTGCAGCTGCCCCTCTAATCTCAGGGGCATTGACTAAGTCGTGAGAAAGAGATGGAGTTAACGTTGCATCCAAAGGAGAGCACTCCTGTACCTCAGCCACCACAAAACATGCGGCCTCGTGGACCTCTTCAGCTAGCCTGTTTAGCATATCCACTGATTCTACAGAAATAGGCTGGCCTTGCAACAAGTCTATCCCTGCTTGACGGTATGAGTCACAAAAGTGCTGTAGGTAATATCTGCAGTACAGGGGCGACATACTTTTCATTTTATAATTCATATAGATAGTTTAACATATAAGTAAGGAATTGCCTTCAACTGACTGTCGTGCACAACATTTCCTATGAGACAAAGGGGAAAGAGGGAAAGAACTTTACCTGTTAGCAGAGTTCATGCCATCTTTCATCAATCCGGTGAATTTGCGTTCACCAGTTCTCGTGTAGTCTCCCTGATAAAAATAAAGTAGAAGAAGTAAAAATGAAAAGTTACAGAAAACGGATGTGCTTTTTGGTTTGATTCAAAATAGGACATACTTTCAAAGCGTTAGTCCCTGCATATTGCTTGCTGATTATGTCTCCATTGTTGGCCCAGAGTTGTTGGAACATTGACCTCAGAGTGACAGGCATGGTGCCTTCTGGCGGAATCAAGCCCAATTTGTACAATTGTATTTCCATTGCTGCTTTAGCTAAGGCAGTCTGTAACAAAGTTAGTTTAAACGTTTAATTAAATTGAACGTTTAATTAAATTAAGAGAGCATGTTATACAGGAAGTGCAAACAAAAAGTTACCTGCACAACATTGGTCCTGTCAAGGCAATCAATGCAGTTCACTCTGAAAACACCTTTCTGACTACAAATTAAACCTTCCTTATCTCTCCAACAGTAGCCCATCTCCCTCAAAACTTCGACAAGGCTTTCTATCAAGAGTGACACATTCTCAAAATGCATGCCACGGCTAAAATTTCAACAAAAGGAATTTCATTACAGAGATATATCTAAAAATACAGCCTCTTTCAGCAGTTTCATATTTCAACCAAACTTACCAATATTCATGAAAGTCGAAGGTAGCATATGTAAGCTGTGGAGAGTTATATAAAAGAATATGATCAGTGTAAGCATCCCATATGATTCGTTCTTTTCCGCTTTGCTCTACTAAATTAACAACAGCAACAGGACCATAAATATCCAATTCTCCATTAAAATGCTTTTCAAACGCCACTTGAGTTTCCGCTTCTCCTGTGGATTGACCAAAAACAGATAATATTTAAACTTATTTTAAATTAAAGCAAAATAAAAAGTGGAGTTAGAAATGATGATGAACCTTTGTCTATTCGAGGAGGTGGACGATATTTGTACCCAGGCTGTGACCAAAATACAGGAACTGATCCTCGTACTTGAACGAAGGAAACAATGTGACTTTGATATGCAACAATTTGCTCGGTCTCCACATAGTTAGCGCATTTTCCATCTTCATCAACACCTCGACGTTTATAACGTGTTCCTGCTCGAAATCGGCTGCGGCGGGAAATTAAGCTCAAAGTAAACGTCTGAAACAGATAGACCATGAATTGATTAGGCTGGGGAGAGCAGCAAAGCAGCAATGCATTACTAGGGGAAAATAAACTGATTAATAAACCACGATAAAGAGGTAATAATCAAGAGCTATCTGAATCAGTTGTAAAAGCTTTCTAAGCCCATTCCCACTAAAGACTAAGCATTTACCTCATAGCGAGGGCTAAGAGCCTCGTAGCCAACTTCAACACGACATGGTTCAATCTGAACAAACCCCTGAATGATTGGTAAGATCCAAGCTTCAGCTTCTTTTGTCTGAAAATGATTAATATTTTTTTTAATTGCTTGGTACTTTAGTACTTAGCACAATTTGTACCAAATAAATACAGCAAAATTTAAAAATACACACATTTAGATTGATGATGTCTTGCAACATACTCTTGTTCCAAAAAAAACGATCATCAATCATTTTCAAATTAGTTTCTTCGGTGTCCGACATTTGTGATGAACTGGTTTCCCTATTGCACTGCCTCTGCAAAGTATTTGTGATGTCACCAGTTGGTGAAAAATAAAATGAATCTGTTTCAGTAAAGATTCTAGTCAACTCTTCTGTGATTCGGCGTTCAAACCTCTCTCTTTGTTTAGAATCTTGTTTCACACCTTGCTTCACCTTGAAAAAAAGAAATGAGCAAAAAGTTAATGACAAACACTATTAGTTATTATTATTAACATTTAAGCAATGAAACAACATTTGAAAATACCTGCATAGTGGCAAGAGCAGCAGCCTGTTGAGTGGTGTTTTTAATTGTATTTCCAGCAGATTTAATAGAGCCCCATGTTTTACCAAGAACGGCCTTTTGATCAAAGAGACTTGCTCCACTGAATGGTCCTCTTCTTGCATCACGTTGCTCTCTGTGTTTTCTGGCACAGAAGGAAGATCAAATAAAATAAATATTCTGAGAAAATGTACCCTTATGCATTGAACAAAATAATGGCTGTCGGTTACCTGCATTGTTCTAGACCAAGATCAGTTGGTTCTTCACTGAGGGATAAGAATGACACATTTTTGATCTTGTATGCAGGGTATCCTCCAGGCAGATTTCCCACAAGAGCACATTCTCGGACTAAAAGAAGGCGGTCCTCTGAGGATTGCAATGAGATCTTGCCAACAATTCCAAAGCACACACCCAAACATGATGGATCCTCAGCATGTACAAGATCTAGCGCTGAATGAAAAGACAACAAATATTATAAACACATCGTGGTCATTACAACAGATAACGGTTTGGGGCTGGGTATGGGAATGCATCAACATCATTGAGAGAATTCAATTCATTGTAACAAACAACCAACAGACTACTAAACATTAATCTAATAGCACTGTCGCTTTTTTCAGAAGACAACCAAATCGTTACTGGTTACATAGGAATGATGTCAAAGAGGTGACCGTAGACGTCAGAGACATATGACTAAAATATGCAACCCATGAGTAACCCCTGGGCCAGAGACAAAGGATCAATTGAAGTTAGTCCAATCGAAACAACTCTTGATTCAAGCCTCTGGAACGATACTTAGATATACATAAATATTTCAGATCTATCAATTTGGAGGATAAAATAAAGGCAACACAACAAAGTAATGTTTAAAACAAATTGTGACAGGTTGCAGGGCGTCTGGCTGTCAACACAACATGACAGAAAAATACCTGTTTTGGCGTCGAATTGTCCAGTTTTCCGGTCCCACCATAGACTGTGGTTATCACGAATGAATATATAGTATTTGTCAGTACGGAAAAGTTCTATACCAGGGGGATTACTGGGTTGAGGAGACATATTTACAAGAAAGATTTGTTCTGCTTGAATCAAACGTTCCGTTCCTTCCCCTTCTTCTCCTCCCCTCCCCTCTACATCCCTACCACCGCCTTCCACTCACGAAAAACGTCCTCTTCTTTCAACATTTGTTTACTAGTTTGTATTTTTTTTGTAGAGTCGCGATTTCGTTGTGTTGACTCTCCGCCGGTCGCGAAAATTATTGTGCAATTAATCATACAGCTCAAATTTTCGGTGATAGAGCCTTTAAGGAAGTTGATTCCCGCGCATCTCCAATCTCTGCCGGAAGTTTTGACTTAAATTTCGTCGCCATAACGGCCATAAGTCTGACGTCACAAACTTGTCTTGTCTTCACAGATGACAGAAAAGATGGCGGAGGTCGACCTGAATGTCGACGGCTTAATTCAAAGACTTCTCGAAGGTAAATACCCCCAGTGAAATTGATAGCGTTCCCCGGACGACGCTTGCCCGCCGTTCCTCGTCGTTTGCGGCCGTTGCTGCTCGGCGGCGTCGCGCGACCGCCCCTTTTTGCAGCCGCTGGCCTATCAAGGGTGCTCCCCGTCGTCCCCTTATCAACACCGATTCGATTCATTCTCGTTATTTCAACCCGTCGGCTTGTCTGCTTGTTTTCTTGTGCAGTGCGAGGATGCCGTCCAGGGAAGACTGTGCAGATGAGCGAGGCGGAGGTGAGAGGCCTGTGCTACAAGTCGAGGGAGATCTTCCTGCAGCAGCCTATCCTGCTGGAACTCGAAGCCCCATTGAAGATCTGCGGTAGGTTGCTCCTGCTCAAACCCCTTCCAAGTTGCATTGATAGTTGTTTCTGAGGATGCCAGGAGCTGTGCTGTTGGCTTTGCCAGTTGGTTGTTCAGTTGTTGATGAAAGGTCCTTCTCCTGAGAGATGTGGTAATGGTGAAAGCCGTACCTGTTTGTTTACATGAACATTTTCATCGAGAATGGTTGGTGAACGCTTATTTTTCTCATCCATTGCAGGCGATATCCATGGTCAATACAATGACTTGCTCCGACTCTTCGAATATGGAGGGTTCCCCCCTGAAGCAAATTATTTGTTTTTGGGTGACTACGTCGACAGAGGCAAACAGTCCTTGGAGACAATATGTCTCCTTTTGGCCTACAAAATCAAGTACCCAGAAAACTTCTTCCTCTTGAGGGGTAACCACGAGTGTGCTTCCATCAACAGAATATATGGGTTTTATGATGAATGTAAGTTCAAGCTTGTGTCAATTGTCAAGTTCAGTCTTTTCAATGGCTTCTTTCCTTACTTAGTTTCATTACTAATTTTATCTCTTTTTTCAGGCAAACGGCGGTATAACATTAAATTATGGAAAACATTCACTGATTGTTTCAACTGTCTACCAATAGCTGCCATCATTGATGAGAAAATTTTCTGTTGTCATGGTGGTTTGAGCCCTGACTTGCAGGGAATGGAACAAATTCGTCGTATTATGCGGCCTACTGATGTTCCCGATACAGGTTCGTTTAATGAAAAGTTCATGTGTTTTGTGATTTTAATGTTTATCAGAATTCATTTAATAAACTTCATTCCAATTACAGGGCTGCTGTGTGATCTTTTGTGGTCAGACCCCGACAAAGATGTCCAAGGATGGGGTGAAAATGATCGTGGTGTTTCTTTCACGTTTGGGGCTGATGTCGTGAGCAAGTTCTTGAACCGACATGACTTGGATTTGATTTGCAGAGCTCATCAGGTTTGTACTCGAGCAGTGCCTCATGAGCTTCAGGCTATGATTTTCTTATATTCTTCTGTGCAATGTGGTAAATGGGTTTGTTTGGTCTGTTAATGCAGGTTGTAGAAGATGGCTACGAATTTTTTGCTAAAAGACAACTTGTAACATTATTCTCTGCACCAAATTACTGTGGTGAATTTGACAACGCTGGTGGCATGATGTCTGTTGACGAGTCTCTCATGTGTTCTTTTCAAGTAAGTCAGTTTTATTTATGTGTGACAGGGTTTCTGTGGGATTCTGTGTGATTTGCACTTCTTCTCAAATCGGACTTTTTTTTTGGTCATTTTCAGATTTTGAAGCCATCAGAAAAGAAAGCAAAATATCAGTACTCTGGAATGAATTCTGGACGTCCTTCTACTCCACAGAGAAACCCTGTTAAAAAGAAGTAGTAAACTAGACAAGTTTTCTGGCCCATTATTTGATGCATCAGTGTCATTCATAAGATGCATCTTATAAGATCCTGCTATAAATATCAGTCAATTACGAACTCTTTGTTTTGTTATAGGGAAGACAGATTCTTTGATTTCAAGTATGTAATAGTCTTGTCCTTATTGTCCTTGTGCAGGATGTTTAACTTCGAACTTCAAATTTTTAAGCTGTAAATTTTGACAGACTTCCTTACATGGGCAAGTATTTGTGAAAGTCTTAATGCTTTTTATTGTGAAAGAAATTATTTATTGTTTGTGTGAGCTATTAGTCCAAAGATGAAGTGGAAGGTGAAGCCTTTCATAAATTAATGTGCAAAGTTCAGCTTTTATTTTACATTCAGCTTATTTTGCTACTTTCCATTAAAACCTCAATGTGCATTTACTTTTGCTGTTAATGTCATTTCTTAACTGTTAATCAACTGCTGTGACATGTTGTCATGCTCCTTTACTCAATGATTGAGGTTTTATCAGAGCTGTAGCTGATGTAATGTTTATGCTGGTCAGTATTACAACATTCGCCTTGTCTCGTTATTTTATGTGTTTAGTGACAGGACTCATGTGAGTCTGATATTTCTGTGGATTGAAGGTTATAATAATGATCAGAACTAAATGTAGGATTTGCTTTTGTTTGACCAACTTCTCCTGTTAAGCTCTTTCTTGATTTCGATTCAAAATAGAAACTAAACAAATTTACATAGGTGTACTCGTTTGTGCAACTTCACAATGTGATGATGTTTCTACGTTGGTTTTGCAATACATCTTGAGTATGGAGTTCCTCTTTTATCACATTCTACTTTCCATTTTGATCTTCATTTCGTTTTTTCTTTCTTTTTGTTTGTATTTATTAATTTTGTTGGCTTAGTGTATGCCATGAACTATGAATGTGTCCGTGGAGACTGTTACTGTTTCTTAGTATCCTAATTTTGTAATTGTGAATTAGGCTTTGAATTTGTAGGCATTTTATTTCTATTTTAGTTTGTGCCTTATGGAATGTGTAGCATACATTTTGTTGGTAGTTTGGCTTCGGTTCATTAATGTATATAACTCCTTTTTTGCCCATCATGTTACTGTAGAGCAGGGGTGTCAAACAAACTAAGCACGACTTGTTGTGGTTAACCCGGTTACTGGCCGTAGCCCTATGGCGCATTCCCCCGCCGTACAGGTTTCTAAATGTCATGAAGAGATGAGTTGACATTTGAGTATCAACAGCCAGAGCACTGTTGAATACCAACATGTTCTGCAGTTTCTTATTAGCATTTGCCAGCATTTTTCTATGAAAGTGTGTCCTATTCAAGACCCATTTGGAGTAAATGCTTTATGTACCTGTAAATTGAAATACTTGTGCCTCAATTTCTTTAACAACACTTACTATTTTTTGTATGTTTCTTTTTTTTTTTTTCTTGGGTTGGGGTAGACCAGTACTGCAGTTTTGTCTCTGTTACTGGAACCATTCTGTGTAAATGATTGTACTGTACTTTTGAATTTTTGAAGACTTCATAAGAGTGACTGTTATAAGTAAAGTTTTCTTTTTCGGGGCTTAATAAATTCATTCTTAAGTTATAGATGAAGTACGCTCTTCTGTTTTTTTTTTTTTTTTTTTTTTTTTTAATGGAATGCAATTTGATTGTAGACTAATTGATCCTCACTTAAACATTTATTTCAGCCTTGCTAAGCCGTCATTGGTATATCAATTAGAGCCTGTGTTCATTTATTAATACAGTCTGTACTGTTCTGTACAAAAGAGGGGAGGGGAAGGGGGGGGGGTTTCCAAGTTATCAAAAAAGATCAAAAAGAAATCATACCTTATCTTTCTCTAACACAATTTTCCCATTACAACCTGGAGATATAAAGCTTTGAAATTGATTAATATAGTTATAATATATATATGTGTACGTATTTAGAAGTGACAGTGTGGAGCAAAGAACTGAATTTCAATTGTGTGGAACCAATTCATGCATTTTGGAACATTTGCTGGACTTCTGCACGGATTGGGATATTAATCATGGCTTCTCTTGCATTTGGTCTGTGAACTTAACTGCAGATGGCATCAGAAACTGATATCCTTCTTTATTATTGTTATTATAAGTTGAATAAAATCATTTTAAATAATCTATATTCTAATGCAACTGAAACATTTCTGAATTTTGGTTAGAAAGAAATCTTTTGTCACTGAATTTCCGATTCAGTTCAACTTATTTTTCTACCTTCCTTTTACTGTTCTGAAGATCTTAATTTGTAAAAACAGTTGAATTTGAACTGCTCCAAATTTATTCTAGGATTTTGTACCAAGTAACAAAGCTTTGAATAGATTTGTTTCTTCTGCTATACTTCTCCTTTAATGACCAGTCCAGAATTGACCAATAAAATCGATGTTTACGTCTGGCCGAATGCTTGTAGATTTGCTTGTTAATTATTGAACTAAGTTATGTTAGGTTCAGAAAAAAGTTCTGTTATTGCTGAGTTTGAGTATATTTATTGTTAGTTGGGTGATATCTTTTCTCAGGAGGGTTTAAAAGTTTATTGGTATAATTGTATTCTCTTTGTTTTTCGTCAATTGCCGCAGCATCTGCTCTACCTAACTCTTTAAAGCAGCAGGTTCGCCTAGCTCATGTTGTTTGACCCACAATTTTGTGCTTCAAGATTGTGTCTACTAATAGTAAATATCGTACCTTTTATCACCTGAAATCGGTTTTGTACTGGTCACTTGCTACCATGTTACTGTCACATTGAAACAAAATTATTTTTCCTTGGACTCTCTTGCAAAGGTAATCAATTTATGTTTCTCCAAGCTTGGCTTTTAATGTGAATAAACAGAATCATCATTCAACCTTGCCGTTTGATTCATTCCCTGATACACTCACCCATGGTCAAGAGTGGAGGCAGACAACACTCTTGCGATCTTAGTCGGATTAGTAATTGACGCTTACTAAGAGACTAGGCTGTGGCAACGTTTTGCAATGGAAATCCAGGCATGGCTGAGCTGGTCTCGAAATGGCCAACGATCAGCTCGCCTTTTCGAGTTCTGGAAGGTGGTTCCCACCTGGCGCCGTCTAGGTAGGCATCCCAACTTACTCGGCCTCTTGACAGCCTTACAGCTTCGCTCGTGCGTCAGGGGTTCCGCGTTCGACCGGTAGATGGCGCGGCGGGTCACTTTCCCCATTCCCTCGTCGACTCAGACAACAACACGGAGCACATCATCACCTTAGCGCTTCGCGCCCACTGCACTTGATTGATTTTCAACCTACTGGTGTATCGGCCTTTGGACACTAGTCGATTGTATCAAGCAACGATTGTGTGACGCCCTTTGCTGAGTTACTTCGCAGTTTGCGGTTACGTTTTTCTTTTCGCTCCGGCAGCAGACTGATTCTCTCGTCTGTCTGTCTCTCTCGGACTCACGGGGCGTCTGATAGGGTGCGCTGCGAGAGAGATAAACCAGTGCTCGGAACCAGTCTGCTGTGCCGCAAATGGCGCCTGTGTATAGCAGGTCAAAGAAACGGAGAGAGGGGGCGGAGGTGCCGCACAGCTTCCGTGTGCGAGTGTCGAGTGCCACACACGCTCAAGTACCACCTGTTGGAGCCTGCTGCAGCTTGCCCGCTTGCCCCTGGCTTGCTCCTCGCGTGACCGAGGCCAAGGAGCACGAGGAGCACGCCATGCCGGTGGCCCGGTGGCCCGTCTCCCGGACAGTCGCCCTGTCTCTCTCGCACTCACGGGACGTTCCGTCGGGGTGCGAGAGAGACGGCGCGATGCAGCACTGCTGCCTCATGGCCCTCATGGCCCTCATGCTCATGGCCTGCTGCCTGCTGCCCCAGCGATGTCGTGAAGGGGGGCGTGGCTCGGCCGCGGCGGCACGGCGGCGCGCCCCGCGACGGTGGAGGGTGCGGCGGCGCGGCGAGGGGGAAAGGGGGGGGGGAGGCAGGAGATTTGGGGTGTTTAGCCCGGGGCTCGGACCGACCCTACCCCTTTTGGCCCTTCAAATTATCGACAATTTCCTCCGTTTACGGTCCGTTCTTCATGTTGCGCTTCTCTACCTGGCTCGTTTTTATCGTGCCTATGCCGGTGCGTCACGACGACGTCGACGCCGACCTCGGCAGCCTCGCCGCCTCGCCCTCCCAACGACATTTATTGGCCTGGCAGTGCTCTGGCTCAACCCGATGTCCCGATCGCATCCCCGGCGGCGCCGCGCGGGTCAGGTCGGCGGCGGTTGGCGCCGCGAGGGGCGACGACAAAAAAGCGTCAATAAAAACCAAGAGAACAGGAGGAGTGAGGACCGGGGGGGGGGGGGGGGGGGAGGCAGAAGACCGGCGCCGGCGGCCAAAACTCTAGACGCGATTTGAGCTCCAGAGTTGCTACGATCTGACCCCATCAATGGATTCCTCGTTCAGATAGCAATGCATTGGTGGGGTCACGCGTTCGGTTCGAGTCCCATTTAGCGACTCTGGAGCTCAAAACGCGTCCGAGACTTCGGCCGCCTCCACCGGTCTTTTTTCTGGCCCACTGTGCGGCGCGAGGCGCTGCGAGGGAATTCCCTCGGGATGGCACCGGCCGGCGCGCGCTTGCCACGCCACCTGTGGAGCGCGGGGCGCGCTGCCTTCTGCCTTCCCATCACGGTGGAACGGACTCGTCTCTCTTGTTCAACGTCGTCTCTCTCACTCCGGGTTGGCACGCACATTTGCATATGAGGGTTGCCTCGGCCAACGAAAGAGGCGGAAAATTTTACGAAAAAGAAGCAACTTGGGGGTCTTACTTTCTCAGCAATATTGCAGAGCCAAGCGCAGCTACTGCGCGAGAGGCTTGACGCTCTCTCTGCCCTAATCAAATTGAAACCACGTCGAACACTGCACTGGACGGCACCGGCGCACCAACTACATATTTTTTCCATCCCACCGATCGAATGGACGTTGATTCGATTTACCGCCATATTTCTCACCCACCCGGGGGGAGCCTGACCGAGTTCCGAGGCTTTCGAGAGGCTTTCGAGAGCCGGCTCCGAGGGCGCTGAGATTGGAAAGAAAAGCGACCGATTTGAATTTCCATAACGCAGCGGCCTGGACGGCAGGCCAGACACGACCACCGCCTTGCCACCGTCGTAACCACAACACCTCCGCTCCGCGCGCCCTGGCAGTGCCCTGGCAGTGCCCTGGCAGCGTGGCAGGCAGCGCGCACGACGCGCAGCGACGGCCCGCCAGTGTATAATGGCTTTCGATTTATCCTCCCATTTTGAAGGAGGCATGAAATGGTCGATCAGCGGGAGTGCTATACGGGGCGCCCGGTTAGTTTGGGGCCAGTATGGTCAGTGCGGGGCCGGGGGCCGGCCGGGGGGCGGGCTCATGGCTGCATACATCGACGGGAGCCCCCGGGAGCCCAGGCTCAGTCAGGGTGCAGCCGACCCGCGGCCGTAGAGAGGGCCTCCCAGGGCCCCCCCAGGGCGCGGCGCGAGCGGGGAGGGCGTGGCGGGAAAGGGGGAGGGGGGGGGGGTCAGCACCGCGGGGAAGAGGGACGACGTCGATCTACCGTCGCATCGTTTCCCTTGTGTGTGTGTGTGTGTGTGTGTGTGTGTGTGTGTGAGTGTGTGTGTGTGCGGTGACCAACGAGGTCCACGTGCTTCCAATTTATGCCCCTGGTCGTGACGCGTGCGCGGCTTCCGTGGAAATAGTTTCCAGTCACGTTCCGGGCGCCACTTTGCAGCCCGGTGGTCTTGGACTTCTTTTTCCGGCGCCGCTCCGGCGTCGTTCCGGCGTGGTTCCAGCGCGGTTCCGGCACAGGCCTTTGGAGAAACGTGGTTCCAGCGGGTTTCCAGCGTTGTGCGAAGACTTTTTGTAGTTCGAGCGCAGTTCCAGGTAGGGTTTCGTGGTTCCAGCGTGATTCCAGCAAGGATTTATAAACGCGCGGTTCCAGCGGGGTCGTTCCAGCCTGACGCCGGGGCTTTGTAGTTCCAGCGCTCGATTCCAGCGCAGGCCTTTGTAGTCGCAGCGTGGTTGAAGCGCATGCTGGACTCTGCGGCCCTAACGCCCGCGTGCACCACTGCGCTTCAAAGCGTCGGTTCCAGTCCTAGTCCACGAGGCGGATGGCCGGTTCCAAGTCTCTCCAGCAGTGTGCACTGCACAGTGCTCCAGCTGCACGCGGCCCCAGCCAATTTCGAGTGGCGTGTCGAGCCAATCAAGGCGACCATCTGCTGTCCGGTGCATCTTCGTTATGTTCCATGTTTCGCTCGGGGACAGATTCGGCCCAAAGTGAGCCTAGCAAAGCGAAGCCCAGCTGCTCACTTTAATAATTTGTAGCCCGGGGCGTTGGCACGCCACGCCGCGCCACGCCGCCGTGGAGGACCATCGCGTGAGTACACACGGTGGTGGTGCGTTGTCTTGTCAAGCTCTAGCTGCACAGCAGCAGGTGGGTCTCGGACTAAACGAACGGCAACACATTCTTTCATACGGCACACCAGTTCAATCACCGACCCTGAATTATTTATTTAACTTATTATCATCACGCCTAGAGCGTTGGAATATTGTCATTACTCCGAAAGTCCGGGTTGGATGCTCTGCATCTCTCATGCCGTTCGTCGGCGTTGAGTTCGGGGACATTTTGCGGACGAGTTTTCGTACAGGACCGACACACAGTGGGCCAGAAGACCGATGGAGGCGGCCAAAACTCTAGACGCTAAACAGGACTCGAACCGAACGTGTGACCCCACCAATGGATTGCTCTCCGCACGAGGAATCTATTGGTGGGGTCACACGCTCGGTTCGAGTATTGCCTCGCGACTCTGCAGCTCAAAACGCGTCTAGAGTTTTGGCCGCCGGCGCCGGCCTTCTGGCGTACACTGTGCGACAGGGGAGGGCCTCCACGGAGCTTGCTGCTCCAGTCGTGGGATTATAGGTTTCCCGTTTCCCACGAACGGGTTCGTAAAAGCGAGTTCCGTCCCCGAAATCCTGGAATCCCGACCGCCATGTGCAGAGCGACGCCGAGCGACGCATGGTGGGATATGGAAGGATGACATCTGGCGGGGCCCGGCGGGGCCGCCCACTATCGGTTATGGGATCAGCGCTTACCTGAATTTAGGGGGCCAGCCGCCCCGCCGGCCCCGCCGGCCCCGACCACATTACCGGACGACTGAGCGTACTTAGACCTTCATTCCGATCGGGGTGATACTCTAGACGAGTCAAGCCGTATTCATGGGGATCTGGCCTGACATTCAAATCCGGAGCTTTGATATCAAGCTTGATACAGACAGTCGAGGGAAAAAGAGGGAGGGTGTCCGACCCGATGGGGTGGCGCCACCAATGCCTGGCCTCAATCAAGCTAAAGGAGCCCACATGCTGGGCGGCAGACTCATTCCGAGAGTCGTCGCTCTGTCTCTCTCGCACTCTAGGGCCTCCCGTATAGGTGCGAGAGAGACAGAGCGAGGAAAGCGACTCGGTGGCCGCGATGATGCCACAGTCCGATACGGCGCAAGACTGGGCAGGGATTTTGGCAATCCGATACGCGCGGGTGGGGCACACCTTCAAGGGACTCCGGACTCCATCAGCTGACGCGGTGTCGCGGGGCTGCAGGGTGAGGGAGGCACCCTTCACCGCGTTGATGACACCGTGGTTGCATCTGCATGTATCAGGTAAAAAGGCTAACTATCTGCCAAAAACAAGACAACGAAAACCATCAAAATGAAAATTTATCTATGTTACAGTGACTTTGGCGCAACTGTAATACGAAGCAAACTTTCTCCTGGCGAAATACGACTCTCCTTGGGATTTTCATTGCAAGATTCCAAAAGATCGCGCCAAAGATAAACCTGTAGTATTCTGATGAATATGACGTCACCTTCGTCGAATGTGCTCGCCTCGTTTGCAATGCACTAGCAGGTCGATGTGCGTTCGGCTCTGACTTGGCGCTGCCTCCGTAATGAGCGCCATTTTCATACTGTCCGGCCGGCCTGGCCCAGGTCTAGCCGAGGCAAGCCGAGGCCTAGCCTGGCCTAGCCGCGCTACAAATTGCACACCTGCCTCCTTCAGATTAATCTCTGCGCAGAAACCGCGACAAATCTCGTCGGCGCCCCCTCGGTCCGCCTGATTCCGGGAGTCGTTTTCGTCGCTCTGTCCCTCTCGCACTCATTGGGCGCCCCGTAAAGGTGCGAGAGAGACAGAGCGACGAAAAGGACTCTCGGAATCAGTCTGCTGCGTTCGGGTCCTTCGGGTTTTGGCGCCCTCGGCCTCGGGCGCTGGCTGCGCTGGCCGTCGGGGCGTGGTCCTTGCCGCTGGCGCCGCGGCCCGCCTTGAGGGGTCGTGGCTCTGTCTCTCTCACACCCACGGGGCGTCCCGTTCGGGCGTGAGAAAGACAGAGCGACGAAGACGACTCTCGCACGCAGCCGGCTGTGCTAATCGCCACTTTGGGATCGAGGAACAATAAGGCCGCCCTTTTAGCAAGGCGGGAAAGTCAGGCCGAATTTTCATTCGGATGAAAGGGACTTGATGATTGCCGCAGCTGCTTCTGCTTCGCAATCCAGCAGCCAACTCCAGCAAATTTTGACAAATTGGTTCAAAAACGTTAAAAATATGGCAACATTTTGACAAGGATTGCGTCGGTGCAGTATGGCTACCATTGCCAGTCGAGAAAACAGGACCACCGGGACCGGGGACTGACCTCTAGTGCACTGCTAGTATGCATTTTCCTGTACCGAGGAAACCATGTTTGCAGTGCCATGTCAAATCATCAGCCAGAATAGGTGGTGGATCGTGCCATATCCCGATAAGACCACGTCATCCTGATAACGCCTCGCGCGATAAGGTGAGCCTCGTTGTTTAAAAGACAGTCTGAGCCCAGATCTGCCCAGTCGTCTACGTACTGTCGCGAGCTCTCCACACTTCCAACTTGGTAAGAAAGGCTTCACTGCAATTGAAGGCTGAAGGACGGTCTCGAAATAGAATACAATCAATGTGTTGTCCAACCTCTCAAGTTAAAGGGTGTATGTATCGCATAACAGTGGAGCGGGTTGCCCGTGCTCAACTGCTCTTGAACTTGAGAGGTTAGACCACATTTACATTTGGCCGCTTGCCGTTTGGTACTTGGGAATGGAGATTGCACTCCTAATCGCATTTTTCTGGCGTCCGTCTATCTCACTGCAAAACAAGTTGGCGGGTTCCCGCAACTTGATTATCGAGAATTCTGTCGCATTAAAATTCACACCCCGCCAAAAAATTGTTGCAGCGGTCACCATGGTCCTCACTCTGTACGGAGCCGACACCAGCCCCCCGGTTCGCGCCGTCAAAATGACATGCCGGGCCATGGGCATTGAGTACGACTTCAAGGCCGTGGACTTGGCGAGCGGAGAGCTCAGGAAGCCAGAGTTTCTCAAGGTCAGTTAGTTTCGAATTTAAATGAAATTTAACTTTTGCCCTTGGTGCGGGTGCGCATTTTACTAACGAGAGATGTGTCGTTTCGTTTTCATAGATGAATCCACACCACAGCGTACCATTCATTGTTGATGGAGATTTCATTCTTTGGGACAGGTAAATAAAAATGACCGCTCCTTATGTCTTATGACTGTTATATTTAGATTTCTGCAGGGACTGCAAGGACATGGGACTAAATTAATGTGGTCTGTTAGTATTCTCAACAAGCTCAAGTTCTTTTTTGTGCCCAAAAATTCAGCAACACAGTTATTTTGAAATCATTTCCGGTCTAGGGCTATTTGAGAATGAGATAGAAGTGTTTACTATATAATTAATTGTGTGCTGAAATTTCCGCGTTGCAGCCATGCTATCGTGACGTACCTGGGTGAAAAGTCAGGCAACGACAGTTGGTATCCCAAGGACATCAAGCACAGGGCCACCGTTCAGCAGCGCTTGCACTTCGACAACGTCATGCTGTTCACGAGGCTAAAGGACATCTTGGTAAGTGTGCCATAGCAAAGTCTCTCCATCACCCCTCCCAGGGCTTGACCCCGCACCAATGGATTCCTCGTTCGGAGAGCAATCCATTGGTGGGGTTGCACGTTCGGTTCGAGAACCATTCAACGACTTGGGAGTTCAAAACCCGTCAGGGCATAATGTAACGGGCAGTTGTGGCTTGTTTGGGCAGTTCTTAATCTCAATTTGGCAGTTGTTAACGAAAAAATGGGCAGTTGTCTCGAGGTCAAATTTGGTGAAAACACACAACCTAACCTAACCAGATCACCGTGATAACTTCGAGAATTCACACACCCAAGAGATGGTTTAGGAACTATGAGGCTTGCCACATCTCCCCGCCGCACAGCCCCGAATTGCAGCCGTGATTGCCCCATTGTCCCCCCCCCCCGGTCGCCCGGATTTGGGCAGTTGTAAAAATTTCTTACAATATGCCCTGAAACCCGTCCGTGATTTCGACCACCTCCGCCGGCCTTCTGGCCCACCGTGCGTGGAGAGGTCAAACGAAGCGCGTTCCAACTGACCGCTTCCGTTCCGTTTGCCATAGGCGCCCATCTTTTTCGGAAATGTGCTGGAGATACCGCCGGAGAAGGTCCAGGCGCTGCAGGAGGCCCTCAACTTGCTGGAGCCCATCGTCCACGAGGGAGGCTGGCTCACTGGAAGCCGCCCCACTGTCGCGGACATCTGCTGCGCCGCCGACGTCGCCACCATCGTGGTGAGTTGCAGCGATATTTGGCATTTTTGGGCCATCTCGTCGAAAGTCATTCAATGATTGCGTCTTTTGCCCCTCAGGCCGTTTTCCCGGAACTGACCATACCGGCCAAGGCGGCAGCCTGGCTGCGACGATGCGAGAAAGAACTCCCGGGCTTCGACGAGATCAACACCCCCCACATCAAACTAGCGGTTCTAGGCGTGAATAAAAAACTCGGCAAGGACTAAACGATTCGAATCTTTCTTTGATTTGGCCATTTGACTCGAAGCTGTGTCAAACTACCCGCTCCTCGTGACTACCACTTGTGACAGGTGCGCGTCGCTGTGTGCTCAGCAGCGCAGCGCCGTGGCCCAAACTGTGTGCTCAGGGCCCTGCAGGGTGAGAGTCCCTTTCCTGCCGCAAACAAAAAGTGCCTCCTCTTCTAGGGCCTCTTCCTCTCCGGTGGCCAGCAGCGAGCCACTGCCACCAGGCGAGGCTCCAGCGCTTTCGTCGACCCGTCTCTCTCGCACTCATGCGGCGTCTTGCGGCTGGAGTGAGAGAGAGGGAGGCAGAGCGGACTCAGCGGAGGGATGAGCGCAAACACAGCCAGCTTTGTCTTTCTCCAGCTGCTTGCTTGTGACGTTGGCGGTGGTGGCCTTTGCAGTGGCGGCGCGCGGTGGCACACTGGTGGCACAGGTAGGTAGATAGGTGTCCCTTGTCCATGAGGCGGGTGGCCGGTGGCCCGTAAAGATACCGAACACGGCGTGGCCATCAGCCCCGACCGACCCCCTCGACCCTCCAGTGCAGGAGACAGACACACACTCGTCAAGTGCATTAGTCTGTATCCCCGACCGCATTTTAACCGATAGCGCCGAGTCGTGTCGTTTTAAAAGGGGAGCGACGGCGAGGGGGTTGAATTTGGTCGCCGCCTTTTAGGGTGTATTCGAACCCGGGGCGCAGCGGCGCGGCCCTTGTTTGGCTTGCAGATGGGGTTGGAATCGGGCGGCGGAGCGCTCGGGGATGGCGCGCCACTGCGAGGCGAGTCGCATGATGATAAGGTGAAACGAAGAAACGCTCGCCCGCTTTCCGAGGGAGCGTGTTTCTTTGCGAGTTTCGCACCGCGAGGGGGACACTCAGACACACTGCGAACGAAGGCAAAGAGCTCACCCGTTTGGGCGATTTGCACATTCTCTAAAGATTCGTACCGATACCTTCGTCAGGAACATTTTGATGCCTGAATAGGGATTTCGACAAATTTTACTGAAATGAATGAATGAATGAATGAATGAATGAATGAATGAATGAATGAATGAATGAATGAATGAATGAATGAATGAATGAATGAATGAATGAATGAATGAATGAATGAAACTTCCCAGCAAGTCCCGTGGACTCGCTGTGTGTGCCCTATACACGTTCCCAGGCCGCACACCTCCGGGTGCAGCCACCATGGCAGCCACCAAGCGACAATAATGCTAATCTGCCTCTTCCGCGGCGAATTTGCCGCATGAAGTGCGAAGTGTGTGATGAAGACGGGTAGGGAGGGAGGAGGTGGGCGTGCCGTGCAGTATGAAGGGCAAGGTGCAAAAAGGTGGGAAGGGGGGGGGGGGCTGCCCACGCAAGTGCGGCGCGCTCTGCCGTCGTATGTGAAGGATGCGGGGCGGGGCGCGACCCTTGCAGGATAAAAGGGCACTCAAATTACCTCTGGGGATGGCGGCGGAGGCCCGCCCCAAAATTGGCACCTATCACGGAAATGACCCCGCCGGCCGGAGAGAGAGAGAGAGAGAGAGAGAGAGAGAGAGAGAGAGAGAGAGAGAGAGAGAGAGAGAGAGAGAGAGAGAGACAGACAGACAGACAGACAGACAGACAGACAGACAGACAGAGAGACAGAGGGGGACTCAGAGAGGCAGACAACAGAGAGGACGGCAGCGAGTGGTCGTCCCTCGCAGTGCCTCTCGGACTCCGCCGGCCCGGCACGCATTTTGCACGCCACGATACGATTAGTCGATTAGTCAAAAGTCGGGTCTGGCGGCGCTTCGAGTCTAAGGCCCGATGGCGGCGGGTCGGCAGGTGACGTGCTTCTTATTTGTTTTGACGGCGTCTGGCTGGACCCTCCGGGCCTGGGGCCAGCCTGCCTGCAGCCTGCCTTGATGCACCTCGCCGACGAGGCGAGGAGGCGAGTGGGACTAGCCTTTTCTCTGCCGCTTTTGCGATAATTGGCCTACGAGCGCCCCACCAAATGACCCCTAATTACTGCACGGAGTGGAGGCATGCTCATTGGGTGTTTATAGAGAGGAAGAGGTCAAGCGGCTGATTCACGCACGCAGTCACCTCGTCGTTTTCTGAAAACCGCACTGCGGTGCACAGTCAGTGGGCCAGAAAAGCGGCGCCTGGGGCCAAAACTCTCGACGCGTTTTGAGCTCCAGAGTCGCTAAACAGGACTCCAAGCGTTCGGAGAGCAATCCATTGGTGGGCTCACACGTTCAGTTAGAGTCCCCTTCAGCGACTCGGGAGCTCAAAACGCGTCCGGGATTTTGACCGCCTCCACCGGTCTTCTGGCCCACTATGCGGCGTCGCTAATTCCTTCAGCCAACAACAAACACAACAACAACAACATCAACAACAACAACAACATCAACAACAACAACAGCAACAACAACAACTACAACAACTCGACTACTCGCGCGGCCCGCCGTGCAATTTAAATTTTCATAGCCGATGCCTGTTTGACTCGGTCCTGGAATTGGCGAGCGCCTTTTAGTTTATGGGCCGTGCTAAGTCCACTGCTAAGTCCATGGAGCCGTGAGGCCGCCGTCCGCTTGCAAGGCATTCGCATTCCGACCCCGCGCGCCTCGCTGCCCTGCCCTGATGGATCGAGTTTAGTGCCGCTGTTTCAATCATCCGCCTCTATGCAAACACTCGGCTAACCCCCCGCCACGCCACGCCACGCCCCGCCCCCCTTAGCACCCCCCTCCCCCCTTCCCCCCTCCCTCCGCACCGCGTGCTTATTCACTCTTCTCCCCGCGGGTCATGAAATAATTGCTCCCCATTTCGGAAGTTTCTGTTCGATCTCGAACTAGCAGGTCCTCACCCTCCCCTCCTTTCCTTCCCCCTCCCCTCCCCCTCCCCCCTCCAGCCTCGCGCCGTCGTTGCGTCCCAATCACTGCCGATTGCTCCCCCAGGCCAGTTCCAATTTATTTTATGAAACTCCCCGCGTGCCGTGGCGTGCCGTGGCGTGGCGTGGCACGGCGCAGAGCAGCGGCGAGGTGAGGAAAAATATCGAGGGTGCGCGCTGGGCCTGGCTGGGCCCGCTTTGGGCTGCTTATACAAACGACTGTCTTTTTAATCACGGCCTTTACCCCGACAATGAACGGCTAAAGCTACTCGGGCTCTTATAGTGCCCCCAGTCGCTTCCACCGCTCCGTCTCTCTCGCACTCATGGGGCGTCCCGTACAGGTGCGAGGGAGACGGAGCGAAGCCTGGCCCCGCCCTCCGCCGCCACGGCGCAACGCCTCGCCACGGAATCACAAGGCGGTGGTGCGTATTGAGACGGACCGTCGGGAAGGCGGTGGGTGGCTGGCTGGAGACTGACTGACTCAGAGTCCTTTTCGTCGCTCTGTCTCTCTCGCACCCACACGGAACGCCCCACGAGTGCGAGAGAGACGGAGCCGCACTGCAGTCGGTAATGGCACGCATCGGCGCCCAGAGGGCGCCACGGGCAAACCCGAAGGGAGCAGAAGGATTTATGTGTCTCTCGAAACGTCCGCTAGGCGTTTATGAATTCATTAAAGTCCATCGACGCTCGCACAAGAATCCCACAGCAGACGCAGCCCCATCTTAAAAATGAGGAAAACTGCATTGTTGTGGAGGTTTTGGTTGTTTTCGATGCACGAGACGACCACTTTCTGTTGTGTGCCCAAAGACCCCCATTTAAGGTGTATCGTTAATTGCGCTTGCAAAAAGGAGGGGTTGTGGTTGTTGCGGTGGTCGTTGGGTGCATTTATTTTCATCTGCGTCCCTCTCAGGTATGTAAGCAGGTCAGATGGAGAGCTTCACGTAGGGGATTGAGTGAGAGAGAGAGAGGGGGGGGGGGCAGTCGCATTGCAGTTCATTAGCACGCTCCACCCCGCCATGCTGATGTCACTGAATTGAAAAAAATTGGCCGCGTCCGTCTGTCGACGTCCATCACGTTTTGGCGACCCCCTTATTTCTCTCTCCCTCTCTCTCCCCTCCCCACGCCCCCCTCTCTCTCTCTCTCCCCCCCCCCCTCTCTCTCCCTCCCCCTCCCGTTCAAGATGAATGCCCACGGGACCACGGGTTGGCCGTCGACACGCGCGTGTGCGTCGCCGCGTGCCAGCAGGTGGATTCCGAACGCCTTCCCTCCGTCTCTCTCGCACCCGCACGGAGCCCCCCATGAGTGCGAGAGAGACAGAGCCAGGAAAGCGCTGTTCGCAATCAAGCTGCAGGCGGGCCGTGCGTTGTTCACGAGGGCGCATGTCTCCGTCTGCAGGCTGCTTGCTCTGTTTCCAGCGGCAGCGCTTTCGTCGCTCTGTCTCTGTCGCGCTCGCGGACCGTGCCGCAGGAGAGCGAGAGAGACTGGACGGACGACGTACAGCCTCGCGTGTGCAGTGCGCCGTCACTGGCGGGTCACACCTGCCCAGACAGCCGGAGCATTATGCACGGGCACACTCACACTTACTCCCTCTCTCTCTCTCTCTCTCTCTCTCTCTCTCTCTCACTCACTCTCTCACTCACTCACTCACTCACTCACTCACTCACTCACTCACTCACTCACTCACTCACTCACTCACTCACTCACTCACTCACTCACTCACTCACTCACTCACTCACTCTCACCAACCTACACCGGCATCCGCGCACCAATAAGAAGGAAGTATATTATTATCCCCGGCCAAGCCGAAACAGGAAACCGGACAAAAACGTGCCAATATCCAATAGGCATAATGCACGCTGGTGCGGCCTTCTTTCGGCGCGGTGCATCCCGGCACCTCCACTACAAAGAGGGGCGGCGGCGCGGCGGCCGGGCAAGGGCAGCGGCAAGGTGCGCGACGCGGGCCTCGCCCCGCATTTTGTCGCCCCGCCCCGCCCCGCCCCGCCCCGCCCCGCCCCACCCCGCCACGCCCTGCCAAACAAACGACAAACAAATTCTTGGTGACAGCCTGGGCCCGGTACGTTGGGGTGGCGGCCGGCAGCGCGAAGAAGGAGCGGACGCCGAGTAACGATCCAAGGAA